TTTGGGATGGGTTTGGGATGGGTTTGGGATTTGGGATTCGGGATTCGGGATAAATTCAGGATCCATTCAGGATTTTCCAGAATCCCCCCCAGTCCCTCCCCTTCATTCCCGGCTTTTCCCATCCCGCTTTTTCCGCCCCCTGGGGCCCCTCCCTCCCTGGGGATAAATAAAAGCGGGATCGGGATAAAAGCGGGATCGGGAGCCGGAGGAGCGCTGGGAAGGCTCCGGATCCCAAAAAAAAAGAGCGGGAAAGGAGCGGCCGGGATCCCATTCCCAGGTAAATCCACGGGAAAGGGGGAATGAGAGGGAAGAGGAAACGGGAGATAGAAAATAGAAATGTAAAACAAAAGAAAATGAAATGAGTTTTAAAATCAAATGGAATGTGAAATGAAATGAGATAAAAGATAATGGAATGGAAAATGAAATAGAAAATAAAATAGAAAATAAAGTAAAAGGAGATAAAATGAAATTAAATAAGTTGAAATAAAATATAAAATGAAATGATATGAGATAAAATAAGGTAAAATAAAGCATAAAATGAAATAAAATGAGATAAAATGAAATAAAATGAAATAAAACATGAAATGAAATGAAATGAAATTAAATTAAATTAAATAGGATAAAATAAAATAAAATACAAAATAAAATGTAAAATAAAATTTAAAATAAAATGTAAAATAAAATATAAAATAAAATAAAATTTAAAAGCAAATAAAATATAAAATAAAATGAAATAAAACAGAATATGAAATAAATTATAAAATAAAATATAAAATAAAATAGAATATAAAATTAAATATAAAATTAAATGTAAAATAAAATAAAATAAAATAAAATGAGATCAAATCAAATCAAATCAAATGAGATAAAATGAAATAAAATATAAATAAAATAAAATATAAAATGAAATTAAGTAAAATATAAAATAAAATAAATATAAATATAAATGTAAATATAAGTATAAATAAAATATATAAATACTAAAATATAAATATAAAAATATAAATTAAATTAAAATACAAATATAAAAATGAAAAGAAATATAAAATTAATAGTCATAAACATAAACATAAACATAAACACAAATATAAATACAAATATAAATATAAATATAAATATAAACATAAATATAAATATAAATATAAATATTCCAAAGGGTTTTTCCCTCTGCAAATCCCAAATTTTTCCCTAAAAAAAAAATCCTGGAATCCTCGAACTTTTCCCTAAAAAATCCGGGAATCCCAGCAGGGTTTTCCAGGTTTTTCCCCTCTGGAAATTCCAAATTTTTCCCTAAAAAAATTCCTGGGAATCCTGGGATTTTTCCCTAAAAAATCCCAAATTTTTCCCTAAAAAATTCTGGGAATCCTCAGAATTTTCCCTAAAAAAATCCAGGAATCTCAATTTTTTTTCCAGATTTTTCCCTCTTCATATCCCAAATTTTTCCCTAAAAAAAAAATCCTGGAATTCTCAGATTTTTCCCTAAAAAACCCCAAATTTTTCCCTAAAAAATTCCTGGGAATCCCAAAAGTTTTTCCAGGTTTTCCCCTCTGGAAATTCCAAATTTTTCCCGATTTTTATCCCAAAATTTTAAACCATTCCCGGTTTTTTTCCCCCCCTTAAATCCCAAATTTTTTTCTGCTCCTTTTCCCCGGTTTTTCCCGATTTTTCCCATGGAAATCGATCCCAAATCCAGGAAAACCGGAGGGATTTTTCCAGAGGGAAACTGAGGCACGGGAAAGGGATTCCTCAAATAAGGAAAAAAAAAAAAAAAAAAATGGGGAAAATTCCTTCCAGAACATTCCCAGACCTGGGAAAAATTCCCGTGCCTCAGTTTCCCTCCGGAAAAAAACCTTCCCATTTCCTTGAATCGAGATTTTTTTTTTAATCCATGGAAAAAATCCCGTTTTTCCCAAATCTGGGAATTCTCAGGAAGGAATTTTTCCATATTTTTTTTTTTTTAAGGGGCGGTGGATCTCTTTCCCGTGCCTCAGTTTCCCTCTGGGAAAAATCCCTCCTCCCCGTTTTCCGGGATTTGGGATCGTTTTCCCGTAATTCCCCGTAAAAATTCCCGGTTTTCCAGAGGGAAACTGAGGCACGGGATTTTCCCAGATCTGGGAATGTTCTGGAAGGAATTTCCCCCCCCCCTTTTTTTTTTTTTTTTTTTTTTTTTTT